ACCCCTATTGCTGACACACATGTCTGGAATGTGACTTCTGGCAGGACTGAAGATGTCTGCATTAGGGTTTAGCTGCAGGGTCTGGAAGGGTCTTCCTTTTGTCTAGGGCTGATTAGGTTCATGGTTAATGTATCCTCCCTGTGTAAAAGACAGTAAATCGTCCTTTAATGTATTTAATTCACTTTGAAATTTGCTAATGTTTTCCATTTGTACTTCTTGCCACTGTTGTTGACTTTCCTGTAGTTGATGGAGACTTTCTTCCTGTTTCCTTTCTTGTTCCAGTTGCCACTGCTGTAATCTCTCTTCTTGTTTCTTTTCTCTCACTTCTTGTTCATCTTGTTTCTTTTCTCGTTTTTCTTGTTTCTTTTCTTTTCCTCCAACAGCTGCTGTAATCCCTCTTTTTGTTTCTTTTCTCGTTCTTCTTGTTTATTTTGGTGCTCTTGTATTGCTGCCATCAAATATGCTAAGCTGTAGTTTGATTTGCCGCTTCTCGTTTCCATTTTTTTTGTCCCTATCTCTGACACCAATTTGTTACGTCTCTGGTCATTGGTTAATTTTCCGTAGAAATTCTTTCCGAAAAACTTCAGAGATACAAGTCCTTTCTTAAATAAAACTAGTTTATTCTTTCTCAATACAAATTTGCAATACACTTAATTTCCACAGCCACTTTATCTTAAACACACACTATAAGTCACAACGATTCACGGACTTTCCTTACAGTCACTACCGCGCTTGACTCAATTGTCGTCTCTATCTCTGCCTGTCTGCAGTTCTATTAATTATCTCGCTTTATTTGCCTGCTTATATACTAAAATAGAGGGCGCGTAGAAAAGACTAGAGTTGCCAGGAAGAGACATGATCCTTCTAGAAACACCAGCGCGCATGCTTCCAGGATCGCGAGACTTCCGATGTCGTAATATTTTTGTTTTGCAGCATGCGTTATTTTACTACTACTGGTATTAGTAACCTCAGGTTTTCTTTTAGTTGTAGCGACCAACACAATGTTGTATTTGTAGTAAAGTATAATTTATTGACATGTGATGAAATTTAAAATAATATTAAAACCTAAAACATTTTATCGTTTTTTAAAATGGTAGTTTATAAAGTGTTTTCCAATTGCATCGTTCAAACATACAAAACTAGTATTTGTTCGAAGGTTACACTCATCTATATGGTTTTCTTGATTTTGACGTTTGTACCTCCATTTTTAATCGCATACAGAAGCCAAGGTAGGTTTAATCATGTTTAGTCCAAGAATTAACTTTAAAAGTTTGAAACAAAGGGTGAGATTAAGATTTTATGCTGTTAATATGAATCAATAAAAATTATCAGTTGTGTAAACAACTGTCAAATTGCAATTACTTAGTTACTAAAGTAAAATAAAGCTAGAAGTAGAATTTTGAATTTGAGTATCCTTGAACTTTGAACTGAAGTTTCAAGATGATATTGATATTCAATGGTCAATGATAGCTGAACAATAATTATAAAATATAATCGAAATGTATATTATGAGACTAACAACAACAACAAAAAGCAAAGAAAGTTGTCCATTGCCATTCGCTATCAATCATAGCGGAAAAAGGTCGTTATACTTTATAGCACCCAAAGACGTTGGTGATATTCCATCTATCACTTATAAGGTATAATCCAAACGTAAATGTTAAACAAGTTAGACATTACGGAAGATCAGATTAGGGATCAGGAGTCGAGAGTTTGACCCACGATGTCACAACTCCTACTGCCTTTTTGCTGTCAGCAGTCAGTTGTGGGAAGGCAGACATAGCATGTAATTTATAAATTATAAATAAAAACGTTTTCCTTTTTACCAAAGGTAGCAGACGGTATATAGGACAGTTTCTTATACTTATGACAAGTTATTCCTGTGTGGAGTGTTAAGAATCTAGAAGTAGAACTCTAAGAATAGGATTCAGAATTTGAGAAATATTTTGCATCAGTTAGGTCAATATTGCATATGTGAAGCTGTGATTATAAATTTAATAGTGTGATTTAGACTGGCCAATATTTTAAACAATACAGTAATAGAAGTTTAACTTTAAGTGATTAAAGTGACAATTGAGATTGGGTGCAACAGATTCAAAAAATATTTCTGACATTGACAATTATAGAAAAAAGGAATGAGACTTGCAGTGTAGATGTGAAAAGTATGCAAAGAAAATTTCTAGTGTCAATGGTTGGCCAGTTTCTACCTGTTAATGTTCATTAGAATATTTCTGAGTGTATCAGTTTAAAATTCTAAATTTGCTTTTGGGTATAAGCTGCAAATTGGAAGCATGGATTGGACTGGTAGAACTCTGTATTATGAAGCTGGGTTTAAATCTGTATGATACCACAAAATATCCACCATCTTTAAGTTGTGGGTGCATTATATGAGTGACAGTCAAGGAGATGTTGAGTGGTAGTGTGTTGTTGACTAGCTACTCTCCCTCTAGTTTGTCAGCTCAAAATTAGAGGTAGTTATGTGTAATATGCCTTTCGATGATGAGGAATTGACTTTGAAACTAATAATGGTTGGAAACGGCTTGAATGGGTAATGAAGTAAAGTTTATTATAAGTTAACATAACAGCAAATGTACAAATGTATATTAAAGTTTTTCTTCATTACCCATTCAAGCCATTTCCAACCATTATAATATCCCTTTGTATATCTTTGCATGAAATTTGTGAAATATACTAGACTCATTCACTTCAAAAACAAATCCCAGTCTGTAACTTGGGTTCTAATAAAAGTAAACTTAAATTCCTGTAATTATAAGTAATCAATAAATGCATCATAAACTTGTTGTAAGATACAAGTAAACATTCAAATGTTTTTTAAAAGAAATGTAAGCATATATGAAGTAATATTTTCTCTGCTTAATGCAGGATTCTGGAAGAAAACTGAAGTATATCAAGAACAACCAGATGTACATTTTAAACATCAACTGATCATTATACTAGAAAATAAAAGTCATGGAGAAACTCTAGTGTGGAGTACATTCTCTCAGCTTAACAATGTTGTTCAAAATAATCTTCGAATACCAGTTATAAAGGTTTGTCAGCAGAAACATCTCATCTTTATATAGCTTAAAAATTTGTAGAAAACATGTTTATGGCTATGAGATAACTATAAAAGATAAGGAGGTAGATGATGTAGGGATTACAAGGGTTGAGGTGTCTCTATAAAACTTTCTTAATCTCTTGTGTCAAAAAAAAATACACATTAATTTGAAAAGATATTAAGGTAAAAAGAAAGGCCTTAATGAGCTTATGGTAATGTTATGTTCTTTCCCTCTATTTAATGTTGTGTCTTGCCACATCTATTTTAATAATAAAATTTATTGGCCAGACATTTATACTGTATGGGCCGAGAGGCTATATTAGAACTGATTTGAATCTGACAAGAAGGGTTTTCAACTGACAGGCATTACTTGAACTGTATATTGCAATCAAAGAATCAGGCCAACTAAAACATGTTATTATGAGCTTATTAAAATTCATAAGGGAGAATATTAAAATTTGGTCAGAGAAAGTTTTTATTGGGGTTTTATAGGAGGTGAAAGATCAAATATATGAGCCTGTCTCCTTCAATTTTGGTAGATCAGTAGAGTGAACAGGTAACTGAGGATTGGAAAATTACTTATGTTATTCCTAGTTTCAAAGGGAGTGATGAAAGTTACTCTGGAAATTATAAGCCAGTTAATCTAATTTCTACAGTGGGTAAAATATGAAATCTTTTAGTTAAGTGTTATAAATTAATAAATTTCACCTTACTAATTTGATATCTTTTTTCAAGTAAGTTACTTGTCATATAGATAGAGGAAAAAGTGTGGTGGTTGGATAGGAGAGAGAGCTAAAGATTGTTATTAACGTAGTCCAGTCAGGCTAGAGTCACTAGACCCTTGTTATTAGCGAAGTACATTGAGGGTAAAGCTTGGTGATTAATTGTTTGGCTCATTAATGAATTATTCTCACATGAGATGGCTAAATAATCACATAATGTAGATAAAAAAACCAATTACTGTGCTGAAACTTAGGTGAATGGATGGCAACTGCCTGTTGTAGAAACACAAGTGTAGAGGACGATATTTCAAAAGTCTTCTGCTTTTCATCTTAAGATTAGTGTGTGTATGGTATTGTCATTCTTTATAGTATTCTGATGGATTGTGGAGAGTGTGTTATGATTGGTTGGTTTATCCCTGTGTCTGATTGGTGGAGAGACTTCCTGTAGATTCAACCAATGGTAGCCACAGTTTACTCACCTCTAATCCAGAATCTCAGTTTAATGAAGATTTTATTGTGTGAAAATAAAATGATTCTTTAATTTTCTTGTCTTCCAAAATGTGTCTGTGTCAATGATTCTAGTTTTTTCCTAGTTTATTTTATGTCCAGTTGACATGATGTGTTCTGCAGTGGCTGAATTTTGTGTTTTCATAAATCTTATACTATCTTTATGTTTTTTATTCTTATCATGAGTGTTCTTCCCAGTTGTCCAATGTATGTTTCATTGCAGGAACATGGAATTTATAAATGATGTTTTTGTGTTTTTTTTATTGATAGGTTTCTGGTTATTTTTCAATAGAATGGATATTAATGTTTTGTAGGATTTCCACTGGATGTCTATGTTCAATTGTTTTGCTGTGCGTTTGAGTTTTTCAATGGAATTTTGCAGGTGGGGGGAGGTAAATGGTAGTAGTGGTAGTGTTTTTTTTTATCTTTCTGTTGTGGTCTTTGTCACAGAGTGTTTGATGAAGGAGAAGGTGTAACCATTCTGTCCAAAGCACTCTATGATCTTTTGCCATTCTATTTCAATGGATAAATCTTATTGAAAATCTTAACACACTCTCCACAATCCATCAGAATACTATAAAGACTGACAACACCATACATACACTGACCTGAAGACGAAAGGCAGAAGACTTTCAAAACATCATTCTCTACACTTGTGTTTCTACAACAGGCAGTTGCTGTCCATTCATCTAAGTTTCATAATAATGCTCTGCCTAAACAATCTGTCAAAGAATTTATTGTGTAAATGTCATGTTTTGGTACCCTTGGTAGACAGAGCATAAAGAGCTCATTGTGTAGCTTTGTGTTTAAACAAACAAACATAATGGAAATATTTTTATTACTTGGATAGTTGGAATAACCAAAAATAATAATCATTGGAAACCCTAATTTTGATTAGTGTATTGTTTTCGTGAGTAATGACACTAATCAATTAAGCTGAAGAAACTTGAGTTAATCAAAAGCAATAATGGAAAATTATAATGGCAAAATTTTGATTACTGGATAGTTGAAATAATCAGAAACACTAATTTTAGTTAACTTATTATTTGACATGACACTAATTGATGATCATAGGTACTAGTTATATCGATTAATCAAGTTAATTCCTCAGCTCTAGTCATTGGTCAGTTCTTGGTCTTTGTTTTTTTTTTTCATATTCACATTAGTGATATTGATAGGGGCATAACTAGTGAATTAGTAAAGTTTGCTGATGACATTAAACTGTATTAAGGAAGATAAGGTATTAAATAATGACTTAGATTGATTGGTAATTTGAACTGTATTTGGCGAATGACCTTTAATGATAGTAATTATAAGTTAATGCATTTAGATTATCATAATTTGGATTTCACAATTAATATAGATGTGAATCATCTTGTTAGCATCACTGAAGAAAAGAATCTTGGAATGGTAGATGGTAAGTTCCTCAAGCCATGAAAACTGATATGTTCCTAGTAGTAAAACTAATATAATTTTATGGTATATTTATTGTTGTACTGATAATCTAAGGAGGTAATTATTTCTCTGTACAAATCAGTTATTAGATTGAATTTGGAAGACTGTGTACAGTTTTGGTCTCCTCTAAGAAAGGATATTGACTTATTAGAAAAGGTTCATAGTGGGGATACTGGATTCTGAGGATGGAAAGGTTATATTACAGGCATATGTTAAGATTTCTTATTTCCTCTTGAATAAAGAATGGTAAGAGGTGATCTTATTGAAATTTAGAACATTGTGTGGAGTGGAGTGTAGCAGTAGATTAAATGCTTCTGATTTCTTTATCCTGTATTTTGAAGTTAATAGGATGAGAGGATAAAAACCTAAGATGTAGAAAAAGATAGGAAACTTCAATAAGACAGTTTTATTTTTCTGTGAAAGTTGTTAGCATATGGAAAGACTTGCTTTTAGCAGTAGTCAAAGCCAGTACTTTACAGGATCTTCAGAGTATTGATGATTTCTTTTTTTTAACATAATGGATGAGTTACATTTTTTCCTTTACTTTAGGATGGATGAGCAAGGACAGCCTTAAAAAACCAAATGATCCTTTTTTTGTCAAGAAATTGTTATTCTTTCTCTTTTTAGGTATTAACAATCCTCGACACTATTTTACTTAATAATTTTTATTGTATATTCTCTAGATAAGAAACATCACTTTTAATGCATATAATCATGATACTGGGCATGTTTGAATTATCTAAAAAGAACAAAAAAGAATTGATTTTATATTTATCAAGTTTTTGTTCACCTTCAAAACATTTTTCATTTGCATCACATAATGAAGTATCATAAAAGTTATTGAGGAACTTTAGCTCATTTAAAAAAATCATAGAAATGACTAAGATATAGATTAATACATTCTTTAACTTTATAGCTTTTAGATAAATTGTAAAACATGGTTGTGTACAAGAAATACAAGTATGGATGCAGCTGAAACGTGTAAAAGTGAAATTAATTTACATTTGTATTAACATATTAATTTCGTAATTACTTTAATGCAGTATACATTAAGACTGATTTTAAGTTCATCCGTGTGCCATGCACATTATGTGATTCACAGGCTTGGAAGTAGAGATTGACAGTTGACCAATTGCTGACTTTAACAAGCAATATCTGATTTAACCAGGGAAAATTACAGTAGTTTGCTAAAGGGATAGTTTCATTACCAAATCTGGAAGTCTAGAAAAGCGTATATAAAGGGGTTGGATATGGTGCAACCTGCCAAGCATTTTGCTGTAGATGGAAAGGTTGAGAGAGTTCTATGGGTAAAGAGTAACACAGTACCAATGAAGAAGAGCTTTGGGTGATAGTCATCAGTATGTATATATATATATATGTGTGTGTGTGTCTGTCTGTCTGTCTGTAATTGAGATTGCATTTGTTGTAACTTCATGATAAATTCTTTTCTAAAACTTATTGTTGATTGTGAGCTATTGTCAGAATTTTATGTTATAACTATGTTTAAGTCTGGGTTGCATCTGTTTATTACTATTATTACAGACAAAAGAAGAGGATGTAAATAAAGATGGAAGGTTTGATTCACTTGATCTCAAGGTTGAAATGCCATTACATGATGAAGAGGAAGTCTATTCTGTGAAGATGTTGCTGTTTTTTGATTACGAGTTATATGTTAGTATGCTGTTTTCCCTTATTTCAAATGATGAACAAGTAAATGGTAGTTATCAATTATAATAATAACTGTAATATAGCTACGTAATAATTATTGAAAAAGATAATTATGTCATTGAAGAAGAGCTTATTATCTGTACATTAGCAGATAATCTGAATATTTAATGTTTTTTCTTGTATTTATTTTTTCTTCTAAAGAAAGGAATGGATTTATTCATAGTGTCATTGGATTATTTATCTAGTGATTGTTGTGTTTTCTTGATTATTTATGCATGTTGTTATTAGGTCATCATAACTTGTCATTTCTTTCCATCAGATTTTGTCTACAATTTCTAACACACCTCAACATATAGTTAGAAGTTGAACTTAAATGGATATTTCATTTGAAATAGAAAAATAAAAGAATCTTATTGGATTGTTAATCTAAACACTGTTTAGCCTTTCGGAATTAATCTAGATCCTAGAATCAGTGATCTCAGTTCGTTGGTTTCATCTCTGTCAGAAAAATAATTTTTATTCTTTGCATATATTTTTCATGTAATTTGAATGCTGAATTTCTTAAAACTTACTATTTATTTAAGATAGTTTTTCATACCTGTTTTTATAAATTGATTAGCATAACATATCATTTTCAATCAGTCTCCAGGTGTCACTTTTATTTTACTTAAACAGTTAAGTATAGTTTTAAATATGCATATTTATCCATTTCTAAAGTAAAATATCCTTAACACATTTTCACATACACTCTTGCCATTGGCTACCCTGTACTGGAAATGAGATGCTTACAATAGTACATAGAGAAATAGTCTAAATATTTCCTGGAAAAACAGATGACTTTAACGACATCACTAAACTCCCTTTATATATATCACTCATTCGATTACATCACCATTCCCAATTTCCTCCTGAAAAAGAAAGGTCCACCTTTTGAAAGCACTCATGTTATAGGGTTTTCATGTATTTGTATTGTTTTCCATATCCTTAACATGCTATTGACAGAAGTTTGTTTTCTATCTGAAGACTTATTCAAATCTACGAATGGAGGGATTAGGATACTTCTTTTATAATAGTCCTCTTGCTGGCTCTCAGCTGTTTATGATTGGGGAACTTCGACTTCATCAGCGAGAACCACTTAGTAACAAAGGACGTGATGAAAGATTTAATGTAAGTAAGATGTTAATATTGTATAAAAAAATCTGTGATAAAAGAGAGTTTGGTCCATAAAAGGCACTAGTCATCCACTCCCTCCTTGTACAGAAATTTTTCTGGTCTATAAGTTGCTCATAAAATGTTGAAAGAAAACTAATTTTTCATATGTGCCTCTTCTTTAGGGGAATTGTTCCAGAAAGTAATACCCTCTACAATGGAAATAATTATATGTCAAATTACACCTGTCTGTTTAGGCTTATAAGTGTTGTAATATTAATTTTCAGTATTTGCCTGCCTGTAGTGGATGACAATATTCCTGACCAATTTAAGTTCTTTAATCACACCTCTTGAAGTTTTTATTCTTTCTTTCACTTAATTTTTAGGAAAAGTAAGGAAATTTATTACAATTTGTATGTGTTTCAGTTAGTTGTGGACTTTTTTTCTTTTGTCAAGTGAATGTCATTATGTTACTGACATAGAACATATCCAGCCAAGCAAGATGATTGTATGTGTTAGTGATAAGCCAGATTTTATAAGTTATCAAAATTTAAATAAAAATAATACAGAATATTTTGCTAGCTTTTTATTCATGTGAATAATGTATTCTCGAAGCATTTTTGCACAAGTTTCATGCCTTCTTGTATAATCAAAGGTAGATTTTTTTTTATAACAATAAGGAAAATACATTAATATTGTTGCGTCAGCGAGGTCATGTGACTAGTATCACGCCACGTTCGTCTCAAACCTTCGGGAATTATCGGGAGACTACTAGATTGGGGGTAGTCTGGTATATATAAAATGGTCACAACGTGATGGAACAATGTGTAGGTAATGGGTAATTGAACTGCAGTCAGAGAGTGTGTAATTAAGTATTGTCGAGCACGAGCACATGAGACGTTATAGCGTTTGTTATAGAGCGACTGTTGAAATTAAGTGTATCAGTAAAGTTGTATTCGGAAAGAATAAACCAGTTTTATTTAAGAAAGGACTTGTGTCGTTAAAGTTTCGTCGGAACAAATTTACGGAAAATTAACTAACGACTGGAGACTTAACAAATTGGTGTCAGAAGTGGGATAGAAAAAAAAAAATGGAAGCTAGAAGCGGCAAATCAAACTACAGCCTAGCAGACTTAATGGCAGCAATACAAGAACAGCAAAACAAACAAGAAGAACGAGAAGAGAAATTACAACAGTTGTTAGAGGAAAAAGAAAAGAAACAAGAAGAACGAGAAAATAAACAAGAAGAGAGATTACAGCATTTGCAAGAAAACCTGCAACAGTGGCAGCTCAAACAGCAAAATAAACAAGAAGAGAGATTACAGCAGTTGTTGGAGGAAAAAAAAGAAACAAGAAGAAAGACAACAGCAGTGGCAAGAAAACCTGCAACAGTGGCAGCTCGAACAACAAAATAAACAAGAGAGATTACAGCAGTGGTTGGAGGAGAAAGAAAATAAACAAGAAGAGAAATTACAGCAGTTGTTGGAGGAAAAAGAAAAGAAACAAGAAGAACGAGAAAAGAAACAAGAAGAGAGTGTAGTGGCAACTGGAACAAGAAAAGAAACAAGAAGTACAAATGGAAAACATTAGTAAATTTAAAAGCGAATTAGATACATTAAAGGACGATTTATTATCTTTTACACAAGGATGATACATTAACCATCGATTTAACCAGCCCCAGACAATGACAAGCCCCTTCCAGACCCCGCAGTTAAACCCTAATGCAGACATATTCAGTTCCGTTAGAAGTCACATCCCAGATATGAATGTCAGTAATAGGAGTGATCCAATGCGAAGGAAGCCACAGGAATTTGATGGGAAAGCACCGTGGGATGCATAAAGAGCACAATTTGAGCTACTGGCAGAGATGAAGAGATGGACAGAGGAGCAGAAAGCAGTATATCTGACAACGAGCTTGAAGGGACAACCACTGGAAATACTTGAACAATTGTCAGCAGATGACAGACACAACTATAGAGTACGGAAGAGATACGTCCCTTAAAATTAAAAGACTTTGTTGAATTGTAATTTTGTGTTTGTAATTCTGTACATTTAATTAAGTTATTGTTATTGGTTTATTGTATGTGGCTATTGTTCGGGACGAACAATACTAAGGAGGGGGCAGTGTTTCGCGAATTATCGGGAGACTACTAGATTGGGGGGTTGTCTGGTATATATAAGATGGTCACAACGTGATGGGACAATGTGTAGGTAATGAGTAATTCAACTGCAGTTAGAGAGTGTGTAATTGAGTATCGTCGAGCACGAGCACATGAGACGTTATAGCGTTTGGTATAGAGCGACTGTTGAAATTAAGTGTATCGGTAAAATTGTATTCGGAAAGAATAAACCAGTTTTATTTAAGAAAGGACTTGTGTCGTTAAAGTTTCGTCGGAACGAATTTACGGAAAATTAACTAACGACTGGAGACTTAACAATATAAAGGTGCAAGTCTATTAATATGCATATAGATTTTGTGATGCAAGCTTGCATAATCTATGTAGCTGGGATAAAGGCTATTGGGCCAAAATATTGACCAATTTATTTTGTTTTTCTTATAGCATTTCAAACTATTTTCATGTTTTTTTTAATATTTAGTGCTGATTAATTAGAATCATTAAGAAAAGAAGAATATCTATAAACATTCATCAGCTTTTCAAGAACAGTGAAATCTTTGATTGCTCATTGCACTTGTATACATTTCTTGTAGCCATTGAATTTATAGAATAGTTTTGTAGGTTGTGTTTTTAATTTAGATATTTATATTGTTTGGGTAGAGATGTTTGATGGCACATAATAGCACACAGCTTAATGGCTAGAATTTTCTTCAAAGTGTTAGAATAGTTTGATCTATATATAAAGAGTGAGTTATCTTAGAGTTAACAAGTGAGTCATTTAGTCAGTTTACAAGTAATTAGTGCGCAATTTAGTCAATTTTTCTGTTAATTTCAGTTGATTATGTAGTTGAATGCTGTAAATTTTAATATGAAGTTACCAAGTAAAAGAAATTTGTTTAGATGTTTATTTGTGAAGTTTGGCCTGTTGTTAGTTATGTAAAACCAAGGAGACTGAAACTTGTAGAATTTGAAGTTGAATAAATACAATGCTTTTACTATGATTAAGTGGATTGCACGTTCAATTCCTTTTTGCCAAATAATTCAAAAGAACCCATTCAACTATAGATATTGTTACAATACTGTTGCTACACATTTAAAAGGACCAGCTTTATAAACATTGAAAAAAACCTTCCTACAGAGAGCCATGACTAGCAGGCATTAGTGGTTGACTTATTAGACAGACTTGGAGTGTCATATCAGAAAGAAGATTCAAAAGCAAAGGGAACAGAGTAAGTAAGAATTATGAGACTTTAGTCAAACTTGTAGGAGATGTCAAAAACCTGCCCAGTTATCATACCCAAGTGCTGCACATGAAATGATGGATTTGTTGGCATGCAACCAATTTGTAGATACTGTAGTTAATGAGGATACAGAAATTATGTTAAAGAAAAGTAGTGTACATTTTTAAAGGAAACTTTTTAGTTGGCAATGAAACTTAAATCAATTAAAGATGCAGACAAGCATCTAAAAGCACGGTTCAGGAATTAAAAGAGTATCACATCAAATAGTTTGGAAACATCAATTCCCTCAAATGGAAGTCTAGAAGAGCTTGAATTAACTAAATAACATTCTATTTAAAATAGAAGAAGTAACTCGCAAGGCAGTAGATGTTCCAACTGCAACTTAACTAGACATATTGTCATGAACTGCAAAAAAAATTCTCTAGGAAATAAAACCTCCTTACAAAGGATAACAGAAAAAGAAACTGTTATAAGTGTGAAAAACATGGGCATTACAGCCAAGACTGAAGAATCAACAGATGATAATAAATGAAAGAGATGATGCCCTGAGGATGAGTTTCTAAGCCCAAACATATCAAAGGACTGACAAAGAACTAATAGCGTATAGGCAAACAGGAATTAGCTGGAGTTGAATGATGAAGTTCAGCAGAGATTACCCCCATCTGCTACAGTTGAGAAAATGAGTACATTATTCTGATATGATACCTGTCATCCTCTAATAAAATAGCTTTTCTCGATGATTACTGCCCTCCATATACACAAGTTTTCACTTGCCACTAGCCTTGCACTCCCACCTACCTCCGTGGCACAGCTGCATTGTAGTATGCAACAACCCTTCACCAATAGGAGTGCAACACATCCTTTTATCGCAGCTAACTCCTTCTATACTGTAGAACCCAATCTTTACTTCTCGATTTGGCACTGTAATGTTTGGATGTATAGCTCTTTGCTACTTTGTACTTTATTTTTTGCAGGTTTTGAGCTTGATTTTCCTATTCCTTTTTTAACTTTTTTCTTTTCTTGGATTATCAATTTTACTTCCTAACAAAGTTCAACCCTGGATTGTGTTGCCCACTCTTTTTTTTAAAATGAATTCTTGATTTACTATTCTCATGACTTCAATTGTTAGAGGTACCACAGCTCAATAACCTGCTGTTGCTTCAGTGACTACCTTATTTGCAAAGGAGGTTTTGGCTCTTGTCTGTTGAGAATTTGAGTTTTTTGTGTGGCCTGAGAATTCTCCTGAATTTTGACTGATTCTCCCTTTCCTGGGGGAGGCTGGTTAGGATGAATGGAATTTTGCCATCCTTTTCCTATCTCTTTTATTAGCTGTGTATTTCGATCTATGCCTTTAGATGTGCCTCGGCCTTCGTCCGCATTCCTGGTCATGGTGACACAGGTTTGTTATGTTTTGTCATTATCCCTATGTCTTATGATCCCACTCTTTCCCCTTTTGTCTAATATCCCTTCCTCTGATTACTTAGTTTTTCTTCCTCCTCCCAATATTGGGGTCCATGCTGCTCATTTTCTAGGTCATTTGGGTTTGGGGGTCAGCATGCCTTGCTCTCCTCATACCTCTGAGATTCGTGCATTGGCATATAATTGCTCTACAGCCCCATTCTTCAGTTCTTAACATTTGGAATCATTAATTCAGGTTTGAG